AAAACAAAACAAAACAAAAAAAAAAAACCCTCACTTTTTCCACCAACCTGACTTCACCCCGGGTTGCACCACCTAAAGCTTTGAGGCGATGCTCTACTCCAGAGTAAGCAGACCATATCAAGCGTGCCTGCAACACTCACAGGCTAATGAACAATGCACAAAAACAAAAGGAACAGCAAGGCTCCTATTATCTGATCTTCCGTAAAACACAAAAACTGCCTTCTCTGGTGCAGAGGAAGTGCCAGGAAGCCTGCAGGTGTGAGCCGGTTAAAAGAAAAGGCTTGGGCTAAATAGATTCTTTGACTGTCAGGGATTAGAGTCATGGCACTAGTGGTAACACACATCTTTTCCTTTAATTTACAAAATTTTCTCACGAGTCTGCAAGAGTTCACCCCATCAGGGGCTTTCGGAGGCCATTGAAATGTCTTAAGTTTTAATTAAGTTGGAGTTGTCAGAAGAAAGCTTTTTTGGCACAGAGTCAGGGTCATTAATTACTGCTATCTTTGTTTCTTTCTGTAAAGAGAACTCCGCTGACTTGTTGGGTTACTTACCCAGCTTACATTTTCTATCCTCCCGTTCCCATTCATTTCCAAGTGGGACTTGATTAAGCAGTTTACCAATTACTTCCATCAGTTCTAGGTACAAAGCATTTACACAAGCTTAAATCCTAAAAAACGTTTCCCATTAGTGGTTTGGGGTACAGTAGTAATAATAAATTTGTCTAGAAAGTTATCCAAGCAGCTGAATTCGTGCATGGAATTTTCTTGTATTTAAAGATAACTCTCCATGCATTTTTCACATTGTTACTTATTCAACATACCTACTCACATCTTAGAGCCTGTGATTTTGCCTTTTATAAAATGCTAATCAATTTTTTATTTACTTTATTCAATGACACATAATGTAGCTGGAAATATCCAATTTTTGCCTGATCTCTTTTAAGAGGAGAATATTCTTATTGTTTTTACATAAAACTGGCTGCCATCAGGACTGATAATATTTTGTAGATGTAAGAAAGCAAAAATTTTAGGTAATTCATTAATATGCTTCGTATCTATCTAAAGCAAAGCCATTGCTATTTGAATCAATTACGTGAACCACCATCATTTTTTAATTTAGTTTGCTATAGGATGTATGCGTTCACTGGAGCGAGATTGAGAAACAGAAAGAGGGAGAGAGAGAGAGAAAGAGAACCTGAAAATTCCCCCCCCAAGGGGGGGGGGTATGGCCAAGACGCTAGGTCTGGGATTTGAACTATGTAGTGAGTCATGTGAAATCCAGTTCCTTAATCACCATGCCACCTGCTGGCCCTCACGACAAATCTTTTAAAATTGTTATTTTGTAAAACATTTTTTAAATTTTTTTAAGGATTTTTTTATTTAACTTTATTTATTTATTTATTTATTTATTTATTTTAATTTGACCAGACAAGGACAAAGTAAGAGAGAGAGAAAGTGAGAAAGCAAGCTGCCAGATCTAGGACTCAAACTGTGATCAGCCATGTGAGAGTCTAGAGCCCTCAACCACCATGCCACCTGTGGGTCTCCCACTTTTTTCAAATTTCTAAACTACTGACCTGAGTACAAGAAGCCCAAAAAGTTTAAAAAGGGGATCAGCAGGTGGTGTGGTGGTGAAGGTGCTAAACTCCCACATGACCAACCATGATTCAAGTGCTGGTCCTGTCATCTTGCTTTCTCACTTTCTCTCTCTCTCTCACTCTCCCCCTCTGTCTCTGGTGAATGTATGTGACTCATAGCAAATTTTAAAAAATAATAAAATTAAATAATTCTTTTTAAAAAATGTTCATAGAAAAATAGAATGAAAGCAGTAATTTATATTGGTGTAAACATTTTTGAAATTCATTCATAGATTTTTCATAATTCGCGTTTTCTATGAACTTTCTAAAAATCATATTTTTTTAAGAATTAAGATCCTGATGTTATGAGAAAGTGTACTATTTGGTGATAATTTGCTTTGAAATATTTCCCTTATTGTTTTCTTTTTTTAGATTTTTTTCCCATAAGGCATGTATGCTCACTGGAGAGAGACACAGAGAGAGGAAAAGTGAGAAATTACCCTCTCAGGATTTGGGGCATGCATACACACTTTTCTGGCATGTTTTGCAGGCTGCTGTGTCTGGAACTCAAACTACAAAATTGGCCATGTGGGGTCCAGCGCTTTACTCACCTACTACCTGCTGGCTCTATAATGTATATGTTACATGTCTCACTCCTCCCTTTTTCATTTCATGTAGAAACAGCAAAAGTAGAACAATTTAGTTAACACTCAGAAAAAAGAGTAAAGTGGAATAATTCTCAAAAATCAAGAAACATTGAAAATTTAGTAAATCTAAGCAAAATAAATGTATTTTTAAAGGATAATTTATTTACTTTATTATTATTACCTTTAATTTTTAATTTGCTATAGGGCATGTGCACTCACCAGAGAGAAAGTGAGAAAAAGGGAGAGAGAGAGAAAGAGACAGAAAGTCGCCAGGTCCAGGATTTGAATCACAGCCAGCTATGTGTGAATCCAATGCTTTAACTACCACACCACCTGCTGGCCAAAGATAAATGTACTCTTGTTCACCACAAAAGCTAGAACTAATCTTCAAATTGAATAACATCTACATTTTGTTTGTTTTGTTTTGTTTGTTTGCTTTTTTTTTTTGAGATTTTTTTTTTTTTTTTTTTGCTATAGGGTGCGTGCGCTCGCCAGCAAGACAGAGAGGA